TTGAATGTTGTAACCTCTTGGGTCTGAACTGTTACAGCCTTCGGAGATTTCATGTTGCTCTTCCAAAGTGTTGCTTCACCTTCTCAGATTTTTCCTTTCGGTTTCAGAAGGAAGTGTGGATGAGCCCCTTCTATGAGACATGGAAGTGGCTATTGGAATCCTGATACATTTTAATGAGCATCCCCAGAATGCTGCTTTCAAACCCCCTGTCAGAGGACAATTTCTGGAACCTAATCTTAGCTTCATCTGTCTGCAATGGCTGATGCCTTACGAATAGACTCGAGTCTCTTCCTGCCACGTGGAAAGTGTCTTACAGAAAATAAATAAATCTGCATAAGTCATGGCCAGAATTAGCTGAATATCAATAATGCTTTTCCTCTTGTCTTTGCTTCTATGAAATGTCCCTTAAATCACACACCTGCTTCACCTCCCTTCTGCTAACTGAGGGACTAAGCTTTGCTTCTGGAACAGATGTTCCTGTCTGGAGTTCAGTGTCTGTTTGTAGTCCCTTGGTGATGAAATCTGAAATAGTAGGCATAAACTTGTAAATTCTTTTGTCTCTGAGGTTTCTGTTGGTTCCTGTTAGGCAGGTGTGTCATGGCAAGGAAGCCACACACCGCTCATTTAATTTTCTCTGCAGATTTTGAACTCTATTGCCTATTTGCATAGTCATGTGGCATTTTAAGCTGTGCCTCTTTCTAGAGCTCTTCAAGACTTCTTGAAGCAAATGACATACCCAGATCACTCCTTTTCTCAGCAACCTGAAATCATTAACTTTCTGCAGCAGTACAAACTCTTTATATTAATGTTTTTGTAGCCTGATCCTTTTCTCTCTATGCATAATAAATTCCTGGTACCCTTTTTATATTCACAGGCTGCAATAATTTTCTGGTTTCTTCTCTGGAATATTTTCCCTAACTGCAGTTACCTGTAGTGTCATCACATGAATAAATAACAGATAATTAGTTTTGACTCTACATCTTACTGCTTACCCAGCAGCAGCTGAAAGGTTTTTACGGTAATTTCCTTCCAGATTTAATCCTGACCCTGTAGCCTGTTGGCTTCCCTGCCACACATTCAGCTGTTATCCCGAGTCTCCTGCTGATGATTACGTCTGTTTTCAGAGGAACTCCTTGAGGGTGACCATGGAGAGCAGAGGGCAGTGAAGACAGCCTGGACCTGGGCATTGGGTGTCAGGAGAACCTTGTGCCTTATTTCTCAGCCAGGATGGATGAGCTCAAAGAACAATGTCAGGGAATTTCTGAGCCTGCCTTCATCCTGTTGGCACTGAACTATCCACAGTTTGACTCCTCTCTAAAGTGGAGCAGTGAGGCAACTTAGCACCACGGGGAAGTACTTTAACTCCTAGTGAGAGCAGCCTACAGCACTTCACTCTTCTGACTCCCAGGCATAGTAACAAGGGTAGATCTGAAGTGCTGTGAAGCTGCTGCAATGCTACCATCCTTCATGCCCTTCACCTCCTGAGCTGTATTCTGGGTGGGCTCTGGCTTCTTTGGTTGCCAGAGGTGCTTTTGCTTTCCTGTGTCACATTAAAGCCATGCAAATAGTTTCTATAGCAACAGGTATCTTTGCTCAGCTCTGACGCAAAATCCTGAAAGGTCTTTCTCATTCTGCCTTCATCCAATTCTGATTTTTCCTTTTATCAACTCTTTCTGTGAAGATAAAGGGCAAAAAGTTAATTCTGCTCTGTTTCAGGAGTTAACTTGCAGCACAAGGTGATTGTTCAGTGTTAAGAGCCCACTGAAGTTTCTATACCAGGAAATGAACTTTGAGGTGAAGGAAAAATCAGCTGGAATAATCTAGGGAGCATCCTGGCTGTGCAAAACTTGAAATCAAGCTGGTGAAGCAGGGTGGAATGAAAGAACGGGAAAAGGGGCATGAATTTGTCACCAGCTTTGCTTCTGGCTTGGTTAATCTGAGGCTGTTTCCCCTTCTGCCCTTTCAGCTGCAGCATAAAGGCTGAGCTTGTCGGGGGCCTGTTTGATGCTGTTGCAAAAAGAATGACTTAAAAAAGAATAATAAAAGTCAGGAAAAGTTACCTGAAGTGGTATTGTCTCCCTGCACAAGGTGTTTGAGTCTCTGCCAAAGAAGTCTCTCCTGTGTAATGACTGCAAACAACTGCTGCAGTGGGACACAGGTAGAAACAACTGTGACAAGATGCTGTGTTAACTCTTCTTTTGTCAACACAGGGCTTGGATTCCAAAGGGAGAGGGGTAGGGATAGGCAGGCTTCAAGCTGTGCTTATTTTCAGAAGGGACCTGTGAAGTTTGAGCAGGAGGGACTGGAGCAGGATGGGGTGACTGGGGCTCTCTTGGCACCGTGGCCCTTTACTCAGGTGGTGGCCTTCAGTCTCACATTCTATTTTACCTTTGTCTCCTTGATCACCTGGCAGCTGTGGAGGGGTTATTGGAGTGGCTAACACTGAGCTGTGTTCTTCCTTCTTGGGCCCTGGTGTAACCAGGAGTAACTGGTGCTGACAAAATCAGCACACCTTGCTACAGGTTGTGCAGCTGAGCAGGGACCATCTGTGACCTGGCTGCAACTCGCTGCTAGTATTAAATAAATCTGAGGTGCAAAAATGGTAAGAGCACTATAAACAAGGAGCATGAAACATCTCACAACTCCATGGTTACGTTCTTGATGTTTTCTTAGACACCTCTGAAACTCCCTTGGCTGTGAGGGGGCACTGCCCTCACTGCTCTGACTCTGGGCTATGGTTTAAGAGGGGATGTGCAAGAAGGGTGGGTGGCCTTTGTGTTCCTGCTTGATTGTTTTAGCTGTTAGAAGGATGCATTTTTTTCCCCAAGTTGCCTGCGTGGTACTTCTCAGGTCACTTAAACTTCCCTTTGGCTGAGCTGTAAAGCAGGGCTAAGAGCTGTCTCCATGATTCCACACAACTCTGCAGCATTCCAGGAGTAGAGTTGAGCTCTTGAGGGAAAGTTTGTAAGGATCTGTTAATACATATTTTATACATTGATAAACGTGTATATGCATATACATGAGACTTCACGGCTGAAGTACCTTCTGTTGCAGCTTGGGCCTTGTGCTGTGTCACACGACTCTTAATGAGAATTTGGCCATTTCTGGCTGTTCTGAACAATCTGCTTTGCGAGCGCGCTGACGTAAATCCATATCTGACATCAGGCTCTGATATGCTCCTGGCCAGGCTGCTGTGAGCCGAGCTGGTGGTCTAATAACAGCAGCACTCACTCTGGAGATGCTTCATGGATCTGTTTGCATTTTATTTTAATAACGCTGGGCGTAGTAGCAGGTTTTGTGAAACCACTGTTTGCCTTTCTGCTGTAGAAATGGCACATCTGCAGAGTGCTGCAGGAGGGAGCTAAGAACCCAGATGCTGCTCTGTCTCCCCTCTCCTCTGAGCCTGCTCTGTTTTGTATTCTCACTACTCCTGTCTGAATTCATACACAACTGCTCCCCATGTAACCAAAATCCTCTCCGGTGGTGTTTGCTGTAAACTAGACCCTGAAATTTGAAGACCAAAACCATGTACCTTTACAGAGTTGCTCCTTGACCTCTTTCATGCCCCCTACCCCTGCTCCCTGACCGGATCCAAAGCCTTCTGGGGTTCAGCCTCGCCGCCTTGCAGGTTGCCAGCCCTTCCCAGGAAAGAACGCGCGTCGCAGGCGGCGCGTCCTGCGCGCAGTTTCCAGGGTTACCTGTGTGGTGCCGATAGCGAGGCAGGAAATTAAAATGCTCCGTGATGGTGATGCCTTATCGACAGCAGATGGTGGCCATGAGGTGTACGTGCGTGTCAGGGGGAGGCATCAAGGCAAGTAGAGCAGACACAACTATTAGATTTGTGTAATCGCCGCTGCAGGTGTTAAGCTCCACTGCACACGATGTAGGGCAGTCCCTGAGTGCCCTGGTTCCCCTTCTGGCCATGGCTTCCTGGAAGTAACTCCAAGGAGTCAGTGTGACTTCAAGCTGACTGGTTTGCAGAGTCCTTTGACCTTATCAACCCATCTGTACAGCTAATTTTCTTCTTGCAATTTTCTCCCTCCACTCTCTCTCATATACAGCTTTTCTCTCTTGTGCTTCAAGAGATTTGGTCTCTTAACTTGAGACCATTCTGCTTTTAACCTCTCTGAGCACGATCCAGGTACCTGCAGTCTTTGTGGAGACTATGGTGATGTGCTGTAACCTGTGTCAGGGTTGGTTGGGGACTTGTCAGGGGACTGCTAAACATAGAAAATCAACTGACGATCTGTTCCGCTGAGACTAGCAAATTGTTCCGAGACTAGCAAATTGTCACACTGCATGTTTCCTTTTCTTGCTGAGCTGTCCCTTCTTCCTCCTATCCTTTTGGGTTTCTCCACCTCAGTCTTCTGTTAACTCTGAGGTGCAGAATTAGGCTGGACTGTGCATATGCCTGCCTGTTCCTGCTCAGGACAGCACATGTCTCCCCAGATCTGTGTCTGACCTGTGTGTGCCTAAACAGCTGCTGCCTGGTGTGCTTCAGGATGAAATAAGAATATTTTATTTGCATGCAAAGCCTCCTTGAAAACAGTGGTGCTGGTGTTGAAGTGTTTGAAGAAACCACTGTGGTGGCTTAGCTTTTCTCCCACCTCAAGCTCAGCTTTGCTGGCGGGCGCACAACTGCAACCCCACTGAGGTGTGCTCTCATCCTCAGCACTTCTCATCCTCAGCACTGGCTTCATCAGCTCTAGTCTTAGTTGTTCCTAAGTTGTCAGTAATTCTGCAAAGACTAGACTTGTTTTAACCTGAGCTCAAGCTATTATTTAAATAAAACACTGCAGGCTGACTTCTGGTGCAGCGTGCAGGGAGTCTGATGTGTGTGATCCCGTGCAAACCAAAGCATACTTGTGACCTTACTCCTTATTTGCCTCCCATATCTGAACCTTAAAATCTGTAGCCCTGAGAGAGCTCCCCCTTGCTACAAGCTTTCTCAGGAGACTACTGTGCTTGTACACTTATTTTTTTTTTTTTAATGGTTTCAGATGTTCTGAATGACGCCATCTTTGACGAAGACCACGATGAGATGGTCATTGTGAAGGACATAGACATGTTCTCATTGTGTGAGCATCACCTCGTTCCATTTGTTGGAAAGGTAACTCCTCCTCACCAAACAGATGTGGGAATGCACAACAAAAGACTTAAAGTACATGTGAAAGACTTGGTAGCTGTAACTACAGAGCTTTTAAGGCCGTAAATCTTTACTGCTTAAGGCTATGGTTCTAGAAGTTAATCTTCAGAATACAAATAAGGAAGGCCTCCTTAATGTGAGTTTTATTTGAATTTAAGCTCCTGAAATGGAACTCTCAACCTTTCCTACTGTAAGTAATCTAATGGTTTCTGACATTTCATATCAAAGCTCTTCTCCATGAAGCAGCAGCAAGCCTTGAGGGCAGACATCTTGATATTAAACCAGCTCACCCTGCACACTGGCTCTGTCACGGATTTAGCTCCTGGCTCAGAGCTATCCAGTGCACATTCATCTCTGAAACCCTCTGTGAGTGGAACAAACTCATTAGCAGCCCTGTCTTAATTACATGAGCCGAGGCGGGCAGAGGGTGGCCAAAAGTGACTGGCAGGGGGCTGCTTAATTTGGGACTCCCGTGAAAGGGGCTGGAGTTCCAGAGGGTGTTGGAACTGTGGTACTGGCAACTGGAAAAAGAAAATAAAGGGTCTCCAGTTAACCTCTGTAAATGTGATGAAGAGTTCTGGGAGGGTAGTCCCTGCTGCACATCTGAGCCTCTCACTCCCTTACCAGCATGGAAGGATGGAGCTCAGTCTGATCCATCTGTTGCCATAGAGTACTCACAGGCCCAAGAGCAGCAAGTGCTTGTGCTGTCTGTAAAATTCATAAGTTCCAAGCAAACTGTCTCCCAAAAATAGAACACCTGAACAGAAACCAGCCATTTTAGTTGAGTCAACTCAGTTTAATCTGCTTTCTTTTGCCACTGTTAGTATTTTATACTGGAAAACAGGGTAACTTCTTTTTCTGTGCAAGCCTTCTATTGTGCCTGTTATTCTTGGTTACACCTACTGTGTATATTCTCTGTTACTCCCGTGGCAATGTGTGCATTGTTTTTACAACCAGCTGTTTAGCCTGTGTGGTTTGGAGAAATCTCTTTACAAACACCGAATGGGTCCTGCTAAATGACTTGGCAATGCCTCTAAATATTCTCTGACCAACCATTCCCCTGTTGGGTACATCAAAGAGGCTGCAAACGCTGACCAGCAGTCTTGTGTTTGCAGTTCTGTCTTAAAGGAAATTAAGAAATTTGCAAAAAAAAGAAAAAGAAAAAGGGGAACAGGATTCAGCGCTTATTTCTAAGTCATGTCTCTGGCTTTGTCTGAAATGTTTCATGTCTTTTCAGGTGTCAGTGGGTTGATTTACCCAACAGAAGTGATAGGAATGAGCAAGTTAGCCAGGTAATAAGGTGCACTGTGGTACAGGTACAGGGTTCTGAGGTGGGGCCTCCAGGCACAGTGCTAAGACAGAATCCCTCACTGACACTCCCCTGCTGTATCTTGGCTGATTTTTCAAGTCTCTGGTACAGTGGCACAAATGCTGGTTTATAATCCAACTGTACACCCACTGGAGTGCTGTAACCTGTGTGCCTCTCTTAAAACAAGGAGCTTAATGTTTTCCCCCCCTGCCTCATATCTGAGCACTTTTCTACTAAACTTATTCCAATTTAGTGCAACTACGTGTTGCAGTAGGAATGTCCAACCAATCCATATCTGAGCAGGATGGAAGTTGAGTTAATCATCAGTGATCTATGGTATTGCTAAAACAGGGAAAAATCGAATCAATAAGTGCAGCCTGATTTTGGTGGCAAAATACATCTTGCCATCAGAACTCTCACTGGAAGTAAAGCACAGTCCCTCTTCCTTCCTCTCCCAAAATCCATTTTAGGTCTTGAAAGAACAGCATGTTTGCTTTGGATGGATAGTGCTGTGCTGAGTAACAGACTGCCTTTTGCACCCACATGTAGCAGTACTCCCCGGCATTCCTGAGACTTGGAACATAAGCCTTGACTCTTGAAGAACTGTGATTTTTCTCCCCCTCGGAAAACTCACCTGTTCTTCACCAGGACCTCACCAGGCATTTAGTCTCTGTTAACTCCACAGTTTTCCAGGCTTGCTTGGTGGCACGTGCCTCCCACATGCCAAGACTTCTGGACTGTTCCAGGGGTAGTTCTGGGGCAGATGCACATCTCATTGTCTGTGCACGAGTTTCATACTCATTTGGAGTTTGGTTTTGCTGCTGTTAATGGTTGTTCTCCTCTGTCTAGGTACACATCGGGTATCTCCCTAACAAACAAGTGCTTGGCCTCAGCAAACTTGCCAGGTAAGTGTTCCTGTAATGAAAGTGATGCTAATTTGTAAAAAGGATTCCAGGCTGTGCTAACTGTGCTAATCTTCCTAATCTGGTCTCCCTGTAAAGCTCAGCCCACTCTGTGTCCTGGATTTGGATTTAGACCAATCCTCAGCATTGTTTTTCATGGAGAGGACAGATAAGTCCTGGAGCTGTGTGTTAATTCACACCAGTGACTGTGCCAGCACAAAGCATTGGTGTCTGCAGGGAGCACTGAGGCAAAGGACAAGAGAATTTGGCCATGTTCTGAGGCAGGCCACAAAAACCAGTGGGCACCTCCAGCTATTTACTACTTGTGTGAATACTGACTGATAAGAACAAAAATCCAGAAGTTCCAAACTGTAGATGAACACACTTTATGGATATAAAGCAAATCTAAAGCTTTCATCTCTTAGCTGACTCTTGAGATAAATTTTGCATTTCTTTCTTTCACTTGAGACCTGCTGAGCTCAGTGGGGTATATTTTATAGATAAGGCTCAACCTGAGAAACAAAACAACTGTGATACACTTGAGAAATCCATTTGTTATGTAAAATAGCTTTTTTTTCCCCTCAGCAAGTGCCCTTGGATTAGTTGTTGCACTGAATCTTGTTATAAAGTGACACTTTTTCTAGTTCTGATGAGAAGAGGATGGTGGATCCCTCCAGTAAGCAGATTATTGAGAACCAGAGTGGAAGAGTCTCCAGAGAAACAAGTCTGAAAATTTGGCTGTGGTTCAGAAAGGCCACATAGGTTTTTGCTTATGCTTTCCCTGATCGGTCTGTTAATCCTGCTGTAGTTCCAGTAACACTAATGAGAATTAGCCCTGTAAATCTGCATGCCTGCTGGGTTTCCTTAGCGGGTAAGAAATGTGTAGGATATGACAGTAACATGCTCTGAAGTGAGCCAGCTCTGCTCTGTGCTCTGCTTGCACAGCAGTGAGTTGGGTTTGGGAGTGGAAGGGCCCTTGGAGGTCACAGCTTTGCTCACAGAACCTCACATTACAGGGAGGCATCTTCATGTCTTCAGCAGTGCTTACAGGACTGGGCTTTGATTAAAAGGCTGAAATAGGCTGTTCAACACATAATTTTTTTTTTTTGTTCCGTGGCTGTACAGAGCTTCTGGGATTGTGGGCTGAGGCTCTGAGCTGTCAGCACTGCAGCTGGTGGGCAAAAAACTTTGCCTTCTGTAGCCCCTCAGCCTTGGGGATGAGTCTGTGTGGCAGTTCATGGCTGGTGTTGTGTGTTGGCTGGATCTTCAGGTGGTGCAGGGTGTTTTTGGTTTTTTTTTTGAGCTGGATTTCTGAAGGAATCACCCTTCCTTGAACAGACTGTCTTTAGCACGTGGTTTCATTTCTGCAGGGCTCCAAAGCAGGATACAGGATCCCATTTGAGATGTGCATCTGTTGATTTGTGCTTGCTCTGGTCTCTAGTTACCTCTCAACTGCAGATGTAAAAAAAAAGGAGCTCAAAACAGCTTTCAATGATTATTTTCTTTTGTAATTCAAGTGGCTGGAAGTGTGCTGCTGGAAGTGTGCAATTTTGCTACTATTTATTCTCAGTGTAGAAACCTGCATTGATACGTGCAAACCTGCATTTCTGCTTGAAAGGTTAAATCCAGCCTCTTTTTCAAGGCAGGGCAAAACTCTCAAACGCTGCAATAATGAAAAGATTAGTTTCTTGTGTAACAAAACTGTTCTCAGTCCTCACTTTCTAGAGCTTACCATGAAGAGGTTGGTGGGCCAAATCATGCCTCCCTTTTGTGCCCTATATAATGCAACCAGTGTTCAAGCAAAGATTTGTGAGGCTGCTGGTACTCTAGGCCTAATCTTTCCTAATAGGATTAGCCTAATGTGGTGAGTTTCTGTAGTTGTGGATGACCTGCATTCAGTCAACAAACATCTTTCTCTGGATTTTAGGCTCAGGCTTGAAAAATGCTCTTGCAAATGCCTGTTTTTATGAAAACATGCTGTTAGGACTTCTTATGTGCAACACCAGTGTAAGAATATCTGACCATCAGCATGCTCCCTATCCATATATTTAATCTAAATATTGCTTGCTTTGTTTAGAATTGCTACAACACAACCACTTCATTGCTGGAGGGGAGTTTCTGCGTTTAATTCTCTCTCCAAAACAGCAGGAGAGTCTCATTGTCAGAGATTTTTCTTGTAAGTGGTGCCTCGGGCTGGCAGCCAGTGTCTGGTTTGTGTCTGCTCTGACCAGACAGGGTATCAAAGCTTGCTATAGCAACTCCTTTGCGTGGCCACTCCACGTGTAATCAAGAATTTGAGGTTGGCATGAACAACCCCTGGAGTTACAGAGCAGTTATGGGAATTCTAGTGGATTCTAGTGGAGCATCAGGAAGTGGTGGTGGTGTCCCTTGCATTGCCCACCAATGGCTCAAACCTGAAGTCGTGTTGGAGGGGAGCATTGAGGTGATCCCAGCACTGAAATGCGAAGGATGGGGTGAAATGTGGGTGGAGAGTCTCTGTTTCAAATAAAACCAATTCTGTCTCATTGTTCTTAGTTATATTTGTGGTCGAGTGCAAGAATCCAAACCATTTCTTGCCTAATTTCAGCAGCCTCCTGGGAATCCCAATATCTGAATTGTCCTTCAAGCAGCATTTGGTTTAGATTGAAGCACAAGGAGGTGTTCTGACCTCAGTTTGAGAAGGGAATCTTTGGGCATGGATTTCCTTGCAACTGTGTGATGCAGGGGGATGGTGGTACAAGGAATTCCAAAGTATCAGCCAACACATGGAGCTCAAAGGAGAAGCGACAGGTTTGCCCCTAAAATAGACCCTGGGGCTGCAGGTGGAGGGGAACCTGTCACGAAACACAGGGATGTGCCAAGGGAAGTCCTTGAGGAATGCCAGCCTGGGGCTGGGCAGCAGCATGGCACTGCATGGATTTCCAGGAAGGACATGGAGCAGCACAGTGACGGTGTCAAGTTAATTGTGAAGATCAGTGGTCAGGTGGGAATAACTATAACATTGTGTTTTTCCTCTCTCCTGTAGGATTGTGGAAATATACAGCAGAAGATTACAAGGTAAACATGAAATTTTGGGTTTGTTGTGGGCACTCCTCCCCCAGCCAGTGCAGGGGACTGGGAATTGTAGGTGGACTGTAGCTGTGCAAGTTTGTGTGGAGAACAATACATATGTTTCTCACCTGTCGTCATGCTTAGCCCCTGCATCTCCAGGCAAGGGTAACTTCTGTGGAAGAGGATGGAGGCAGTAACTGACTCCAAGGATAAGTGTGCTACGAGGTAGAGCTGCCAGGAATAACTAAACTACTTGGATGCTGCTGGGGGTGAATTCTCCTATTGAGATTTGGAGAGATTCCTTCGAGAATTCTTGTCTAAGGCAAGGAAGGAAGAGCTTCCATGTTCCTGCTTGCTGCCCCAAGGAAGGGGAGGAAGCTGCAGGGTCTGAAGCCTTGGGTTGGGCTCAGCCTGCTCCCATTGTCCTGAGGTTAAATTTGGCCTGTTCTTGGCTAAAGAAGACTTAGTGACCATCAGACTGGTGAATAGAGGGTGCTAGAGCTGCAGGAAATAAAGTTTTGCAGGACAAAAGACTCTTAACTTGCTCATTTTTATCTTCATTTCCTTTCCTTAAAGAGACAAATTGTGTGTGTGGAATAAATCATGCAGCAGTGAAGCTGGGAACAAACAGGGGAGAAAAACTGAAAGAAAACAGAGAGGCAAGAAAATCTAAGTGCATAATAGGAAGTGGAAGGGCTGTTATGACAAGTCGTGGTTATGCAATTCCTGCAAAGGTGGAAAGCAAATAAACAAGCAAATAAAAGATCTGTTTCAGGATGCAAAACATAAACAGGATGGGCAGGGCTTGGAGCAGCCTGGTCTGGTGGGAGGTGTCCCTGCCCATGGTGTGGGGGTTGGAACGAGACGGACTTTGAGGTCCCTTCCAACCCAAATTATTCTGGGATTTTACGATTCTGAGCTCCCTGTTGTTTTGGTTTTTTTCTTTTTCCAGTCCAGGAACGCCTTACCAAGCAAATTGCAATCGCCATCACAGAGGCCTTACAGCCCGCGGGGGTCGGGGTGGTCGTGGAAGCCACGTAAGTGACTCCCAGCTGCTCCGTGGTTGTGTATGGACTGTGTGTGATCCCAGCTGTGTGGGATCCCAGCTGTGTGTGATCCCAGCTGTGTGGGATTCCAGTCATGTGTGATCCCAGCTGTGTGTGATCCCCCCTGTGAGCTGCTGAGCTGGTGCCTGTTGCCCCTTTGGCCGCGGTATCCCTGTGCCGCGCTTGGTCGTGGGACAGGGAGCATAATTATTAATAATAATAATAAAGAATAATAATCCTGGCCCATTCAGCAAAGTGCCCTGGTGTGTGGGAGCCATTTAAAGTGGGATGTGGCAGCTGGCAGTGTGGAGCTGTCCACTGGCACCGGGTCTGTGCTCTACCTCAGTGCACCTTCTACGTCCTCAAGCAGAGCAGAGTTTGGGACTAGCAGCAGGCATGTCCCTGTGATCAGAATGTACCTTGGGAAGGTGGGATTTTCCTAGGATCAGAGGAGAGAAGGCAGTGCTCAGAGGCTGGGAATGGCTCTTTTCCATAGCTCAGGTACTACAGACAGATGTCCATTCTGGATATGGGGGTTTTGTTACCTCCCCAGGACTGACTGTGACCGTGTAAGAAACATCTCTCTCCATGGGATCCCTCCTTTCCTATGAGCATTCCTGACGTATTGACTCCCCTCTCATCTCTCCTAGGCATATGTGTATGGTAATGCGTGGGGTACAGAAAATGAACAGTAAAACAGTAACCAGCACAATGTTGGGGGTATTCCGGGAAGATCCAAAGACCCGTGAAGAATTCTTGACACTCATCAGGAGCTGAAACTGTGTTACTCTCTGAATGCACTCTGGATTGTTCTGTCCCGTGTCACTGTCTGTTCTTGTTCCTACACCCAACTTCTTAAACTAAATCGTTGTGAATTGTTGTCATAGTCTTTGTGCAGTGAAAGACTCCTGGTGGCAAATGGAGAAGGTAGTGATGAAGGGTACTCCTCCTGGATTTCCAGAGATGTCACAGAGTTGCAAGCGACAAAAAGGGGTTTGGAAATGTATTTCCATCCATAATGCAGAATATCCCACTGTCAGGAGAGAAGTGGGGCTTGGTGGTGAAATGGATATTTATGAAGTAGTTGTGTTTATTGGAATAAATGTGGAGCAGCACAGGAAACAACTGAAAGGCTGTGGATCCTTGTAGGATCAGGATTGTCCTGAATTATCTCTATGTTTTATTGCAAGCCCTGCAGTGGCTGTTTCAGTACCTGGGTATGTTTGTTATACCTCTGAGATGTTACCTCTGATGTGTTTTATATTCCTGATAGTATTAACCTTCCTTTTTTGTGTATTTTTTTTTGTTGTTTGAGAAATGTAAACCCCATTTTTTCTGTCCTCTTAACATGCAGGGAATTAACTTCTGAATTATTTGGGGCACAGTCTTATCTCAGTACAAAGGGGTTCATGCACCTTTTCCTCTGTGCCTCAGAATGTCTGACCACTTGAACTCTCAGCTTCCTACTGTTTGTAAGGAAACTTCAACAGAGGGGAGGAAAAAAATTCCCTGCAGAGTCTCTGCAAAGTGCTAAGGTATCCAAAGAGGTTTTTAATGATATTTGTATCTTGAGCTTTCCTTCTTGGATTTCCATTGGGTTAGACTGAGAAGCTAAAACTTAGTCTGATAATCTGAATGGGAAGATTTCGAGCATTCCAAGATTTACCTCTCATAAATGTGGGACCAAAGGTGAGCACAAAATCCTGAACACAGCACACGGTACCTCCCCTGTCCGCTGCCAGGTCGGGTCATTCCAGGGCAGAGGAACCTGAAATGACAACTCATTTCGTAAGAGCAGCTGAGAAAAGCATTCCCAGGGCCATCAGAACGAATTGAACCTCATTTTCTCTGCGGATGGGGCAACCTCTGTGTGGGGTACAAAAAGTTTTCAGAGTCAGCTGGACCCGGCTGAACTTCTAACTTTGTTACCGCTTTAATGGGCAATGTTTTGTAACTCTTAATTGGGAGCAGATGAGGAGCGAATGAAAACCACCCTTCTCACCCCAAGCACGGGAGGCAAAGCTTGCAAAACAAATGCCAGCTGGGGTGTTGGATGCCCACAGGTTCCCACAGCTCTGCTTGGCTGAGTGTTGATCCAACATGTCCTGTACACAAACCTAAAAGGCGGTTCCCGGTCTGGAAAACTCCGTCTTACCGACATTCCCCTCTCTTGCTCCCACCCCATGCTGGAAACAAAATGAAAATCGTGTCTGGTCAGTTGGGCCTAAAGAACTTTTTCAAGAAGAACAAGCTCATGTGTTTAATTTACAGTAATTTTACCTTGGTGACCTTCACTGGTCGCGTGAAGGAAAATCTTTTGTGTGGTTGGAAAAATCTTTTGTAACATCCTCTGTCCTGGATTCTGTAGGATTAGGTGCTGTAACAGTGTTTTGTCTGCTAGTATAAACAAGCTCTGCTGCACATTGGTAGAACACACCCACTCTGTGGCATTTGTTTTCCTGAAATTGCCACTTTTCAGTTCATTATTGTTTCAAATATCCAGCTGAAAAGCCTTAAATCCTTCTTGCCTGAGGTTCAGAGTAAAACTCTCTTTTTAGCTCAACTGGAAGGAGACTTTGAGGACCAAAGGGGCACACACTAGTACATTTGTTCCTCTTTCCCTGCTTTAGTTTGGAAATTAAGTCTCTGTGAAACACTCTTGTCCCTGAGGTACCAAAAAAGTTGTGTTTTAACCACTTATCTCTATTCAGGATAAAGTTCATGTTGCACCACTGCTGTTTTCTTATTTCCACGTGACCTGTAGTCCTTAAAACATACCTCTCTCTACTCGTGGCCTTGGATTTTGTTCACATTTTTGCTGTTGAAAGACTCGGTGCATTTTTTGGAAGGTGAGCGCTGTTCAAATACAGGAGCTTTAACCACCCCCAGTGTGTAAATATGTATAGGACACACAGAGCACTTGTACTGCACACAAGTCCATTGTCTCTGAACCATTAAAGCACAGCGTTATCCACTGGAGTGGGAGCATCCTTGGGGACTTGGAGGTGAGGGCATCATGCAAGGAAGTGGCATGAGCTCCATCTCCTCAGGTGGAGATTGTTTCTCCAGGTTTTTTGGGATGGGTGGTTTGTTATACTCAGAGGGGGCGTCAAAAAAACTACAGAATTTGTTGTCACCTTCTTACTGTTCCTTGGAGCCACAGGAATCAACCACAAATACACTGGGATGGGGAAGGTGGGTGGCAGTGTTGTTTTGAGCTCCTCTCAAGCATTTCTTGAGCCATCCTGGATGCCTCATCACACTGCACTGAGGAAACACCTGGCTCCTGGCCACATGTTCAAATTACCTGAACAAAGAAATCCTCTCAGCAGGTGTGACAAGAGATCTCAAAGGTGAAGTCACCCCAACTGTGCACCTTGCACAGGGATGAGCTTGGCCCGTGCCAGCAGGAACCGAACAACTCCTTCAGTGAGGGGCAGGCTGTCCTAAAGACATTCCCTCTGTCCTCCAGCCTCCCAGGACGCAGATATTGCTGAGATTCAGGGGAAAAAAAATTATAAAATGTATGGATCCCAGACTCCTGAGGAGCCTTGCAGCCAGAGGGAAGGGGGTCTGCAGGGGCTGTGGGTGTGCTCACTGTGGCAGTCAGGAATGGAGAAGGGATAATTAATTAGAGCCTCTCCAGCCCTTCATGTCTTTTTTTTATCTTTTCCAAATGGTCTGTCCTATTTGGAAATAATCCTCCTGGGAAGCCCCAGGAGCATTGGCAGGAATTGTCTTTGTTGTGAAGCTGAGTTACTTCTGTCTTTCTCATGGTTGTGTGTCAAAGCTGGTGCTTGTGGTGGGAAACTGCCTGTTTGTGAAAACAGGCACTTCTGCAAGAAATTATTCCCTGCCTCCTTATTTTTATTTTTTTTTTCTAGGTGTGGGATTGGGAAGGAACCTCCCTGGTTTTGTGATCATGGGAAAAATCTTGTTTTCATTGGGGTGAAAAAATACCCAGCTTGAAAGTGTTTACAGCTAAAAAAAACCAAACAAAAGCCAAACAAAAACCAAACAAAACCAAAAGAACCAAATCTGTAAAAGAAGCATAACCTATTAATAAGGTGACATCTTCCCATCCCTGACCTATCACCTCTCCCAGGATTCCACCTGCTCTATTAGTTGCTCCCTTCCTGGGGAGCTTATCCATATTTTTTCCTCAAGAATCCCCCATATAAGCAGCTTCTTTGTGCTTTTTCATTTTTTTTTCTATCACCATGGTTACTTTGGGGTGCCTCCCATCATCTCCTGCCCATGTCCTGTGGAGTGACTGGTCCATAAGTCTTTGTGCCATATCCAGCCAGGTCCTGGGCACAGGCTCTTTGGTCCTCACCCCTTGTGCTCCACCTCTAGGTGCAGGTTTATCAGGGAATCATTAAGGCTGGAAAAGCCCTCTAAGGTCATTAAGTTAAATCATTATCCCAGCACTGCCAAGCCCACCATGATGGTTTTGGTTCAGGCAACTTTCCACAGCTATGGACCCCAAAATTGGCTCTTTCTAGCCAAAAATCTGCCTTCCAGTGACTCAGTGGCTGCAGGCAAGGGCTTGGATCATCCTGGAGGATTCGTGCATCCCTCACAACCTTCCAGCATCTCTGAGTTGCTTAATGAGCTCAAACAGCTCATCACCTGTCCCCTGGTTACTGCCCCTGGAGCGCTGTCGGCATGGGGAAAGGGTCCACAATCAGCTCTGCCCTTTGAGCCTTGGCTGAGCCCTCCTGCCCAGCTCCTGGAAATAACTTCTAAGAAAAGCTTTGCCTTCCAGTTGTTTTTAAAGTTCCACTCGTGATTTAGTAGTTGAGGGGGCATAAAAAAAATTACAGCTCTTTTTCATAAGCCTTGACCTGGGAGGGACAGAAAATAAATCACAGCATTCAAAGAAATCTTACTGAAATACCCAGAGAATATAATCATGAGGAATTTATTTGTGTTTTTTAACAACTTTGTGTTTTGTTTTTGGTGTTGGGGCTCTGCAGGGGCATTTTTGGCAGAGTGAACTGTACCACGTCACCTCTGTTTGCTCCGAGACTGCAACAGGAAAGCAAAGGTTAAAAACCCACCCTAGGAGGGACCAACTCAACTGCACGGGCCTGAAAACTATTTAAAAAGCGCCAGGGCAAACCACAAGAGTGCTGCTTTGGCCTGGGATGTGTGAATGCCACCAAGGGAGCAATTCCTGGGTGGGTGCCCCTCCATCCAACGTGTGACCTGGGAATGCTGAGCCGGGTGCTGTGGGAGGGTGTCCACACCTCAGCTCCGTCCTGCCCTGGCCCTGGGTGCCTGTAAACCCTCTCAGCATCCTGTGGCTCCACCAGGGAAGATGTATCTCACCCCACAGCTGGCATTTTATTTAGCTCCCTTGTCCTGGAATGCCAGTGGCAGCTGTGCACTGACCCGCTGGAGAGCTGTGGGAATGGGTGGAGGAAGCGACCTCGCTGCTCCAGCCAGGACATGCTGGATGTGCAGGAAAAAGGCAAAATGTCAGGATACAATCATTGGGACAGGCTCCCCAGGGCAGTGGGCACAGCCCCAAGGCTGCCAGAGCTCGAGGAGTGTTTGGACAACACTCTCAGGCAAGTGGTGGGATCACTGGAATTGTCTTGTGCAGGGCCAGGAGTTGGACTCGATGATCCATGTAGGTCCTTTCCAGTTCAGGATATTCTGTGGCTTTGTGATCTCTGTGGTTGAAGCCGTGTTGGGTGACAGCCCTTGGCTGTGAGGACCCAAATCCTTGCAGCCCTGGGGTGCCAGCCCTGGGCTCCGGGGTGGGGTTTCACCTCAGGTCTGTGCTCACCTTCTCCAGACTCTTCTCCACGGGGAGGGAAATGGGTGTTGGTGCTGGAGGAGAGAAAGAGAAGGATGGGAAAGGTTTTGTAGGGAAGCAGCAGTGGGAGGAGGGAGGGATCGCTGGCAGGGAGTTTGCAAAGGCTCTGGCTCCGGCTGGGTGATGCCCAGGGTCAGGGACGTGGAGAGGGGCTGGTCCCGGCCTCGGCAGCGCCTGCCCGGGGACACACAGTCTGTGGCTCCCTCTGCTGAGCCCGGCCCCGAGCTCTGCTCGCCGCAGTGGAGGAACAGGAGCTTTCCTGGGCCTGGAAATGCTTTTTAGGGAGGCCCAGGGATCACCCCGATGCCAGGCCAGTGGCCGGGGGTGGGAGAGGGGCATCCAGCCCCTCCCTTGCATCCTGACACTGCAAACACTCACCTGTGCTGCCTCTCCACCGGGATGGGGATGGAGCTGGTTTGTCTGAAAGCAGGGGCCACCTGCCAGGATGGATTTATTTTTAATTATTATTGTTATTTAAAATTGGCTAAAAATCTATTTTCTGTAGAAAAGCGGGAATTTTGGCTGAGACATTTGCAATGTCTCCTCTGATCAGGCTTGGTCAGCAGGGTGTTTTCTTAGAGAAAAGAGGGAAAATCCTAGAAACACAGACTGGTTTTGGTTGGAGTGGACCTTGAAGATCACCTTATTCCAACCCCTGCCACGGGGATTTCACTAGCCCAGGTTGCTCCAAGCCCCATCCAAAGTGGCCTTGAACACTCCCAGGGATGGGGCAGCCACAGCTTCTCTGGGCAACCTGTGCCAGGGCCTCCCCACCCTCATAGCCAAGAATTTCTTCCCAACACCCAACCTAAATCTTTCCTCTTTTAGTTTAAAACCATTCCCCCTGCTGCCATTTGCAGATTCCCAATTAAAAGCAGCTCCTTGGAGTGCTCAGTGTGGCGAGTTCACTCCCTGGAAGTGCTGTCACACATCTGCCTTTGGGAGCTGAAACAGCACCAGGCCACGTGCAGGAACAACCAGCCCCTCAAAGCCTCGGGATGCACCAGCTCTGGGAATTATCCTCCCTGCTCACAAGGAGGTGGCAGAGGCCGTGCTGAGTGAAGGGGTCATGCTGCTGGCTCCAAGGAGCACCAATCTGTATATCCTGGCAGTGGATCACTGGCTGGCAGGGATCAGCCCACCGGGACCATCCAGGTTCTCCGGTGCAGCCGCAGCCAAAAGACGTGGGGAATTAATTATTCCTTGAACTTGAGGAGCTCTGCTGGTAAAGCCCTCTCTGTCTTGATTAAAAACTTCCCTGCAGTGGGAAATCCCTGCCTGCTGCTGCTCAAGGATTGTTCCCTGGGATATTCCCCTCGCTGTTGAATAGGAGACACTTGTACCTGCACCGGGAGCCAGGGTCAGGGCCAAAGGAACAGGAGCATCCCTTTGGAGGGCATACCTGGTTGGCTCCAGGGCTGGGGCTGCTTCTCTGTCACCCTTTGGAATAGGTAGACATGGAAAAGATCCTGTAACAAGGCAACCTGGGCTTATCCAGCTTCTGCTGTGATCACCACAGCCCAGCAGCTGCTAAAACAGTGGCCACCAGCTCTGGCCTTGCTCCCAGCTGGACATGGGCTGCAGCCTCTTTGGGGCAGGAAAAGAGGAGTCCACCACCCCTGGGCTGGATGGATGGGGCTCAGGTCTGGTGTAATCTGGGTGCACCAATTGGGAAAGCCTTTAGTATCCGGAATGGATTCATCCAACAGCTCCTGGCAGTATGGAAATTATTTTTTTTCCTTTAGGTTTTTGTATTTTAAGCCTCTTTCCAGCTCGCCCGCTGGTGAGACCCACAGACTCTCCCTAACCACACGGCTGCCACGGACTTTCCTTGGAGACTTTTCAGCCTCTCCAGCTCCGGTTTTCCATCCCAGAGGTTTTTTTGCCTTTTCCTTTCCCTTTTCGTTCTCTGTTAGTGCAACAAACCCGCGCTGTGAGACCCAGACGGCGGCACACGGAC